TAATTTGTTATACCCCTTTATCCAGAAAATTTGCTGTCAGTTACAATATTTCCTTTCTGCCATTGCTATGTGACTTTACCGCTCTGTGTTATGTTTACATTTGTCCCCCCAGACCCTACCTATCTAGCCACTGATTCGTTAGACCATCTCCTCCCGGGATTCCACCCCCCTCCATAAAAGCCGCTGTTTTTCTGTTTCCTGCTCTTTGCCATTGCCCCCTCTTTCAGTTGTGTGCCTTCTGCACCCTGCTGGCAGTCATGCGGCGCAGCAGTTTGCAGCCTCGGTGCTGTTCTCTGCTGTGACAAAGAACACCCATGCAGTGCGGCATCAGCTGCCCCACTCCAGCACCGCTCCTGCTGCGGGAAAGAACAACCCCCTGGTGCTGACACTGCCTGCGCGGTGCTGTCACGACCGCGCTTTGTTGCGTCACCTGCCTCGCTTCGGCACCACTCCTGCACAAGAAAGAAATAAAGCAGCTCAGAGAAGCAAGCAGAGAGTCTTTCCTTTTCCTTTACCCTGATCCTTTGACATGGGTCCATGTTTATCAGCCGTTCCTGGTGGTCTGGGACCCCAGCCAGTGGACAAACCATGATTCTGCTTGCTGGCAGGGTGTGGCCACTCCTGGCACATGTGCCGATCGTCTCTCCAGTGATTGGGACAAAACGTCACATGCTGACACCCAACCAAACCATGACTTACAAATGGACTCGAAAGAAAAATTCGGTCAGCAAAATTCAAAAGAGAAGCATTGATGGTTTGGACCCAATGTGTGATTCAGAAATTTTTAATAGGGCCAAGTCAAAGAAAATTGCTGTATCCCTGTTCTATCCATGCGTTGCAGCAGCCAAAGCTCTAGGTGAATTGGGCCACCTAGAGTGCTGGGTAGTCAAACAGGCAAACTTGACATCCACGGCCATCATCAGCTCCCTCGTAGAAGATGAGATTACCAGGCAGGCCACACTCCAAAATCGCGTGGCCATAGATTTCCTCCTGCTGCTGCATGGACATGCATGCCAGGAATTTGAAGGACTTTGCTGCTTGAATCTAACATCAAAAGCACCCAGTGTCCATGCAGCTCTCTGAGATATGAAAAGCCTGATCAGACAAGTCAAGCAGGAATCTGAGGACTGGTTCAGTGGACTGTTCAAGGACTGGGGACACTTGGGGTGGTGAACTTCTATAATTAAGACAATTCTATTGGTTTTTGTTTTTCCTTTTCTAGTCATGTTAGCATTCAGAATTCTACATTGCATACTTTTAAAAGCTATCAACAGTTTAGTCTCCACTACATCAGAGCTCAACCGCACAGAATTTGTGGACCTAAAGCAAAATGACACACCCACAACACATCAGTGTTGGACGAATTCATAATCTGTATCAGAAATAGGCTGATGTGTTTTCTTTAATTTTTTTTTTTTTAACAGAAAAGGGGGAGGTGTTCTATTGCACTAGTTATTTGCACTGGATGTTTGGTAATTTGCACTGTTCACATGATATGTATCCTATCACCGCATGGTCTTCCCCTTTCCCCCCTGTCCCTTAGTGTTGGTGGTCTCTTCCTGGTTTACCCCTCCCCTTGCCCATCCTCACTTGTATCCCATTGGCTGTTGCCCCTTTCCTCCCCCCCCCCCCCCTTTCCACTCAGCTCAAAATCCCCCTGGGAGAAGGCAACTCCCTCTTTTCCATTTGGGTGGTCATCTGGATAATCTGGCATCTCCTATCAAGGAAATAAATGTAGGACTTGGTCCTCACATGGAGAAGAGCACTTCTTGTCTTTTGCCTTTTGTTCTATGTAAGATCGTGTGGGCTGGGGTCCATAGCTAGCTGAATTGGACCTGAACAGCCCGTCCAGACACGGATTCTTACAGTGAATGAGACCCATACTGTATTCAAGGGCATGAAAGAGAGTGAAAGGCCCCTTCACAGGGTAATTCACCTTCCTGTATTGCCTGTCTCTGTTGGGATGACCAGTGGAGATAGCCATTTCACCATCCTAGCACCCATTACCTTCTGAAAAGGTGTCCCCCGGAATACAAGTAACAACCCCATAAGGAACAATTTCACCCAAAGACTGAATTATGGACATGGGGAGAGAGAAATGGAAGTGAAGTAGTACAAGTAGAATTTGAGTCACACTAATGCAGGACCTAAGTATTAAAACTTCACATGCAAGTGAGCCTCTTGTAGGATTTGATGACATAAAATACTAAGATGTGAGTATTTCATCATGAGAAGTCTGGTTTAGGTGTTACCTGTCCTCAGCTCTGGACATTTCCTTACATGCCTGATTGGATGCAGGACAGACCATTGCCTCATCCAGGAATTTGTATCCATTTCTGGAGCAGTGTGTGGTAACCAAAAGGTAGAAAAGTTAAAAAGAGTTGAAAAGAGCAATAGAGGTCTGCTTCTGCTTCTACCAAGGGATGTGATGTGACCCTGAAGCAAGCAGCGTAGCACTCCACAGTATCTGCTTAACAGCTCTGCCCCTGTTGACCGTAGGCACACCCTTGCTGATTATTAACCAGGGCCATGATTTACCCTCAGCTGGCAACTCACAGCTCAACTCAGTGGCCCCACAGGGCCACTCACTCTTTCACCTGCAAGGGGATGAGGGAGAGAAACCGAGTGAGAGGAGTCATGGGTTGAAATAAAGACAGTTAAATATGTCAAACAAGAGCTATGTGTACAAGCAAAGCAAAGTAAGGAATTCATTCTACCCTTCCAGCAGTCAAATGTTCAGCTGTCTCAGGGCTCCATCACCCATGATGGAGACATGGTAAGACAAGTGTCTTAGCTGTCAGCATCTCTCTTTCCTCCTTCTTCCCTCAAATTTTATTGGTGAGCATGACTCCATATGGAATAGAATACTCCTTGGGTCAGTTGGGATCAGCTGTCCCATCTGTGTCCCCTTTTAATTTCTTGTGCACCTGCAGCCTACTCTCTGGCAGCTCAGTGTGAGAGTCAGAGGAGGCCCTGCCACTGTGTAATTACTGCCTAGCAATAACTAAAACATCTCTGTGTTACCAACATTGTTGTCAGCACAAATTCAACACAGAGCTCCATACCAGCTACTATGGGGAAAATTTGTTGCAGAGAATACATGCACACACTTGTTGAAAGGTTAAAGTACAACACTGAACCAAACTGGTTCACTTGAAACCAATTTGACAGGATACCATCGGCCAGGTTTACATGAAAAAGTGAAGTGGAATGCATATCCTGCTGGTGTCTTTATCCTTTCAGGAACCAATTGGCTTGAACAAATGGTGAAGGAGTTGGCAGATGCCAAATATACAGAAGAGGAAAGGAAAGAGAGAATAAATGCTGAAAAGAAACTAGAGACATTTCAGCATCTAGAATTTGGGGATCCTGGGATAGATGAGATAAGCAGGGAAATTCTAGGTAGAAGAAAGAGCAAGGTATCCTTGTGTAGACAATCTACAGAGGAGTAATCTGATGTTGTGACACGCTTTGATCTGGTCAGGGAAGGTGACCAGCATGAAGAAGACTCTACTATTCTAGAGGAAAAGAAAAGATGAAGGAGGATCCTAGATAATTTTACAACAGGTTTGTTCTCTGGCCCAAAGCGTCTTTTGGAAGAGTCAAGAAAATCAAGCCTGATCTGGTATTGAGGATTAGATATCTTTCACTTTTCTTTCAGTATATTGTAAAGTCAACATTAGTAGTATCATGCAGGCTGGGACATAATTTGTTTTGTGGCAGTTGTTTCATACCTGTCATGTAATCCTGACATAATAAGTCACGTGCAATCATGAAAGATTGTTCCTCAGCATTTCTTTATGTGCCTATACCCCCAGACAGTAGCTCCTGCCGGTCTTCAGAAGTTCTCCTGCACTGATCATTTTGATGGGCCATCTTCCCACCAGGACACTGGGTCTGAACCTCTCCTGGAACAGCCATAGAAAGGTTCTGGGTAAGGTCCAGTCCCTTTTAAGAGTTCTTAACTCTTCCAGTGCATTGCAACTGGGTTCATCCTGTCCAGGGAGGTTGCTGGGCATGGGAACAAACAAGATGGGTCCTCGTTTCAGAAGGCTGGAGAATCCAGTTATTCCTGCCAGGGAGGAGGGGTGGGATGGAGACCAAATACAGGGCAAATGCAGGATTGTGGGGTTGTATGAGGTATCACAGGGGTGGCATTTAGGGTTTGGGTCAAGGGAGGAGTTATTAGCAACACAAGAAGTCTCTGTATTTTGAAAGCTGCTTCTTAGAAACTTTAAATCAAGTGATGCTTTCTTGTCAGTCTCTAGGTTCACTGTTTAGCAGGTTCACAGGGACTTATATGGCATGGGTGGGGCTAGGTACACTCCTCCCATTCTCAGCTCAGGTGTCTGATGGCTGTATCAAGGACTCACATTATTAAATCTTAATCCAGCTTCTTTATTTTGTCAAGAAATAAAACTCCCCTCAAATCTCTCCTCATGAGTTATGGCTTCTAATTATAATTTTCTCTGCAAATACAGGAATTGGCTTTTTTTTTTTTTTCTGGTTCATAAGGATAAAATATGCTTCCCAGGAATAATTGGCCTGACTGCCCTTTCTTGCAAAAATACATAGAAAATCCTCTGGAGGTTTCTCTGGAATATTTTTTAAATTTTGGAAACCCTATTCCAATGCTATGCTATTGAATGAAATTACACTAATAATTTACAAGCCATATTCCCTCTTTTTCTACCCTTAGGGATGACTGTCCCAAACTAATTTTTTTTGCCAGCAGGTAAAAATACCAAGCAAACACATTTTCTTATCTTCAGTCCATGACAGTTTAATGCCAAGGGAAGATAAGGAAGAAAAATTAAGTAAGCTGCTTTTTGTTCTGCTAGGGCGGCTAGTTTCACATCAAGAATCAGCAAAAGAGCTATTTCGTAGGACAGCAAGTTTTAGCTGATGTCAGTGAAAAAAATGGTGTGGGTGGTGCCAACTTTTGCTCTTTGGCAGATGACATTGATCAGATGGACCAGGCCATGTGATATCCACTGGCTTCAGATTATGCCTGTACATAGGCAGTCTTTCTATGCTGACAAGGTTTTACAGAAAGAACGGCTATGAAGGGAAAAGCAAAAGATTGTGTATGGACTGGAAAAAGTAGATGTAAAAACGTAGGGCTAGATCATCCCATGAGCAGTTCATGATGGCTCAGGGACCAGGGAGAGCCCTGTATCTCCGTTGAATCCCTCAGGGAGAGCAAATGGCAAAAACATACATGTGTCTAATTGCTGATCCCCTTCCTTCCAGTGCCCAACAGGCAGCAGTCAAGAGATGGAGATAAGAAAGGATGGCATGTAAATTCTTGGCATAAATTGTTGGGGAGAACTATTTTCTCATATTTTGTGACACATCCATCCTTTTGCCAGATACTTAAATATCGAATCTGAGCCTAAAGGCAGTTCTTTTACTGGGCTCAGTGCAGTCAGCAGGTCGTCATCTGAAGTGCGTGGTAAACACTACTCACTGTAGCTGAGGTTATATTATTAGCAACTCCCTAAGCACTGATCAGTTGTTGAACAATGATTGAGCTCATCAGAGAAATGTAGGAATGAGTAATCTTTGTGTAACCAGAAGAAAAAGAGACCTCTGTAGTGCAGTCTGATGAGTGGCCCAAGAGTGCCTGTGCCCCTGTGCCCTCCTGGGCACCAGCTGCAGGCAGCAATCAGCCACACTCACAGGACTGTCCTCAGTCAGTCTCTAGTGCACTGAACATTTTCTCTCCCATTTCCAACACATTTTATCTAACTCTGGTGAGAATGATGGGTGATATAATCAGGAAAAAGGAAAAATCCCAGCAGTGATTACTGGAAAGAGATGGACTGCCTTGAGGATTTTGACTATGACATTTAAATTCCAATCTGCAATTAATGTAATTTTGTTTTGTTATCTTCTGTTTATAAACTCTGTGTTGTTATCACAGACTTTTTGGCATGATCTTTTTCCTAGAATGCAATTGCATTTTTCAGCTTATCTTGTTAGTTTATGTTCAACCTCTGTTGATTTCAAAGGTTCATATTACTTAAGGTCTTTGACTGGACCGGCATATATCTTCACAGGTTCAGAAAGAGGTAAATTGTTGTTCATAGAGTCAAGAAAAAAAAAAAAGAACAACAAACAAAGCACCTATTAAAGGACAATCTGTGAGTTTCTCCTTCTGCACAGAATTTCACACTGTGACAGAGCCTCTGTGTGTGAGACAGAAGAAGAATGGAGGAGTCCAGAAAAAAATTTGTTGGTTTCATAGACAAGGCACTAGCAACTGCCAGCACAATGCATCGTGATGAACTGCTATTTTCTTACAAGGGAATTCCCTACCCTAGAGCGTTTTACAGTCCTGAAACATTCAAAGCCTTGGAGTCCTTTGAAGCCAGAAGTGATGATGTAATTTTGGCAGCATACCCTAAATCCGGTGAATATATTTTATTTTTTTTCATAAACAAGGTACTGTAATAGCAAGTAACAAGGTTTGTACGAAATATATGCAATATTAATGGTATGGTACATAATATTATATATTATGCTAAAAATACTGTTTAGAATGTTCAGCAAATTTTGTAAAACTGATTTCATTTTCAAAAAGCACAAGAAATGAATTAGGAATATTTGACATGGAAAGTTTTCAAAAAGACTGAGAAAACAATCTGATTTTCTTTTCTATTGCTTATAAAGGTTTTTGTTATCTTTACTTTTCATAGTTATGAAGTTAAAGGCACAAATTGGAGAGAATCAAAATACAGTTTTTTACACCAGAGGTAACTAAATCTCTTGATAGTCCACGATCTGCTCCCAGTTTTATGTTTGTAAAGTTAAGAGCTTTATGTTTTTACAGTGGAGCCTCTGGTGCCTTCAAATGGTGAATATTCTTTAGTTTATTTCTCATAGATGTCAGGAAATAGTTATAAAAAATATTTTTGTAGTCCTTGAAGTGATTACACAGTTCTTTAAATATTGGGAAATCAAGAGGACATCCTTGCTACAGTTGCAAGTTTACCCTACATATTTGTGCCTTCTGCCTCAAAGTACTGGTCCACATGCAAGCCAAAAGTTTGGATTAGATGTGCCTTATGTACTCTTTAATCTTGCTGTTTCTCTCTTCCAGCAATTGGTTCACACTGCCTTAGAGCAGATAGTCATAGCTGACAGGACTGTGAAGCTTTTTTTTTTTTTTATTGTATTCTCTTTTTGAAGAAATGTTATGCACTGGAATGCACTTGTTAAGATTTCAGTGAAAAAGGCACCCAGTGTCCAGAAGTCAGGAAATGGTAAATCATAGATGGGAGATCTATGCAGGCTCTTTGTTACATTTTGAAGGAAAAGATAACAAGTGTGTCTAGGAAATGTCACTTTAGAGAGGTTTTTCCTAATGTTAAAGAAAATGAATGTGCAATTTTCAGATCTAGTTCTGCTCCTGTCTTGAAGTACTGTGACCCGTCTTTCTTCCGAAGATAGTCATCACAGCAGGAAACATTTAATACTTTAGGTTTTAAAGTACAAGTGTACCCCCCCATTCTCCCTTACATTTGTCACAATAAAATTTATTACATTAATGCAGGTTTTCCTACTTGAATCTCATTGGTTCTTCTCCCTTATTAGTTAGTTTACAATATATAAGGTAATTTATGGTTTACTAAACTGTTCAAGTTGGAGAAATATATCCTTATGAGGAGCAAAGGTAGGACTCTGGGAAGTGATTGACAAGACAGCTCAGCTGTGATTGTATGACATGAAAGGCGACCAGGTAACTCACCTGGTAGTACTACCAGCTCTTGCCTTTTCCTGGTAAATCCATTTCTGTCCATTCTAAAAGGTTTACAAGCACTTCTCTATTCTTTCAGGCACAAACTGGCTAAGTCAAATCTTAACTGACCTGATAGCCATATCTCAAAAGAAAACACCAGGTAGTGAAAGCAGTGTGAATACTGAAGAACCAGAAGAATTCCCCTACCTCGAAGCTGGAGATGCTGAAAAATTTGAGGTGGGAACACAATATGTATGGAAATGACCAACATTATTTGTTTCAAATATGAAAATATGATGTTTGAACGATTCCGTTGTTTGATGATTTCACAGATAGCTAATATGTACCCTACCTGTAGATCTGATCCCTTACATAACAGAACTGAAGAGAATTATCACTGAAGAGAACTAACAATGGATAGACTTTTTCCAATTGCTCATGGTCTTTTGAAGATTAGAGCTACTCAGAACAGTCCATTAATATCCCAGGACAATACTCAGAAAAAAAACCCCAAAATCGATTTCTATTTGCCATTAACTGTTGATAATTTCATCTAGGCCGCATTTTAGCATAGGTTACTGAAAAGAACACTTGTACTAACTGAACTGTCCACTTTCCTCCTTCCAATTCTTCAAGCGAATGATCAAATTACCTTCTCCAAGATTTATGGTTACTAATCTCCGCCCTGAAAATCTTCCCCAATCTATCTTCAAAAACAATGCCAAGGTGAGTGCTGATTTTAATGTTTTAAGGAAATCACTTAAGCAGATTTTTTTTTAATGTCAATGTAGTACTTTTCTGCCAGTTTCCAGAATCACTGTTATACTTATGTGTTTAGCCTGGCCATTTCCACATGACTGTTTAAGTACTGCCATTCACCTCACTTAACCATAGTTTGCCCTTATGGGCAACTTTGTGGCAGTTTCCACAAGAGAGTTGCAGGGCTTGAACATATCCCTCTGAGGGAAAATGGATTTTTACATGATTTCCTATGGGAGGAATTTGCATTGCATTGCATTGCATTTATTGTTGCAAGTGAGGGCTTCAATGTGTCAAATTTCAAGGAGAATTTATATTTTTGTGAATTTTCCTTGCTACTTAAAAGATGAACTATGCTTGTATTGAGCAAAACATACTTAGATTCTGCATGAATAATTTGGTTAATCTGTAAAAGATAATAATTATAGGCAGCCATCTTCTCATGGTACAAAAGCAAAGTTAAATACTGCACCTTCCTAACTGGGGTGAAATTGCTACTTCTGCAAGGAGCACACAAGGTATGAGAAACCCCCAACTGCAGTTATAACATGTATTATTAATAATATTTATTGTTTAATGCTGTAGTCTGCTCGTTTTCCGTAAATTGTTCACTTCATTCTTTTTCTAGATATTGTTACTGATTCGTAATCCAAAAGATGTAGCTACATCTTATTACCATTTTTCCAATGGCGTGACTACTGTTCCCTCCTATGAGACCTGGGATGATTTCTTCACAGATTTCATGACAAAGAAAAGTACAGTATATTTTTCTCTCTGCGTCAATTGTCCATTGATTTGTCTTTTGTCTAAAAACCCTTGTACTTTGTAGATCAGCTTTACTAGAAATTTTTGGTTTACAGTGCAAAAGCAGAGATTAAAGACAGAGAATTAGACATCTGAAGTTTACCATGCTTGTCTAACTGCTTGAAGTTAATATATATCAAAACTGCGCTTCCAGAGATTTCGTAAATTTGTACAAACTGGTATTTTTCCTGGAAGAAGCAGTTCTTCCTTATCTCTGTCTTGGGTCCCCTTTATCCCTGCTCTCCTATGTCCATTGTCTTGTGTCCATGGAGCTACATAATCACCTCCATGCCACGTTGGATGAAAAGAGTTACTTGGACTAAGGTCTAGTGCTTTAAAAAGGGGACTAAATCTAATGCATTAAAACAGGAGAAAGTAATAGCACTAGTTTAAGGCTATGAGTTTGACATAGCACATTGCCAACAGAAGAGGGGGTTCAACAAGGTTTTAGACTTTATTAAGAGAGTCTTACAAGATGGTCTGTAAGATGATAGCTGTTTTGGTTAATTCAGAGCTGTCTTGAAATGCTAACAGGTTTTATTTTTCTGACTTACCAATGGTATCATATGCCTGAGTCTGGAGCTAAACCTATATATCTTACTCATTGCAGCAGCCTTTACAGTGACAGTGATGAGTGATGAGCCTTTTGTTTAATGGTGAGATCTTTGCTATACTGATTTGCTGAAGAAGATGCCAACTAATCATATTTACAAAAACTCAACAGCCCTGTTCCAGCTGTCACCTGGAAGGAAATGCCCCTTTTCTTTCTAGACAAATTCTATCTTTGTAGACGATTTCTAATTATTTAGTATGCAGATAATTTTTTTCTTTAAAAATGTTTGAAATCAGGCAACATCTTCACAGAAAATATCACTAGCAAAAATAGGGATATGACAGAAGCCTAATGTCAAAGGAGATCTTCCATGAATTCAGTGCAAACTAAATCACAGCTAGAGAAAGGAGAAAGAAGGAGAATATGGATCAGTGTTCTTAAGGCCCTTCATCTCTCTGCATGCAAAATATCAAAATGGATTTTAGATTTGTCATAGTTTGAGGCTGGCACAATGCCAGTGCTCCCATGAAAATATACTTTCCCCTCTGTTAAAAAAAATTCAAGGAAAAGCATTGGACTATGTGTGTTTCAAGTTCAGGGGTCAGCCGGAATGCAGCTAATGCTTTCAGGAATATTCTTCTTCCTTTTTCCGACGGCATCTTCTCTTTGAGGTGACAGCTGCTTGCTTCTTCTGTCCATCTGCTGGAGCTGGATTCTTGGGGATGAAAGGTTTTACCCACTTTTGGGGTATCCATCGAGGGCCTCTGGGGGTGGACACACGTGTAGCCACACCCCCAGGTGACAAGCTCATAAAGACCCTTGGTTTCCCAAGTTTCTGGGCCCTTAATGAGAACTGGTGGACGCTGTGATAACTTAAACCGATTGTTATTCTGAAAATGCCACACTACTGGAGGATTCATGTTTTCGAATGAAAAATTTAAAAAATTAATCTTAAACAGGGCTTTGCAGAGCTTTTGTTGTGGTGTCATCCATGCTTCAGAACTGCCTTGCCTAGCCAGGACTTGTTTGAGCGTCTTGTGGGCATGCTTGATCACAGCTTGACCTGTAGAGGAGTGGGGAATGCCTGCCTTATGCTCCACTCCCCACTGCTGGACAAACTCTAGGAACTCCTTGGAGGCGTACACTGGACCATTGTCAGTCTTAATCTCCCTAGGGATCCCCCACACTGAAAAGGCTTGCACCAGGTGCTGTTTGGCATGCACAGCCCTTTCCCCTGCGTGGGCAGAGGCATAAACCGCACCTGAATATGTGTATATGCTGACATGTACATATTTTAGGCGACAAAAACTGGGAATGTGTGTGATATTCGTCTGCCATACTTTGCAACTCCCAAGGCCATGGGGGTTAACCCCAACACCAAGTGACGGCATGGCCTGGAGCTGGCAATTGGGACAGGTGGCCACAATGGCCCGAGCCTGACTCTGTGTTCACTAGAACTGACGAATTAGACCTGGTACATTTTGATGGTATTGTTGGTGACTTAGCTTTGCCTGCTGGAAGATGTCCGGAAGGCATGCCATTCCTGCTGGGGCGGCAAGGGAATCTGCTTTGCTGTTACCTTCTGCGATCTCACCTGGCAAATCAGTGTGTGACCTCACGTGCATCACATAGAACAGATGCTACTGCTGCAAAACTAAATAAATTAGTTTTGAAAGCAGCCTGAAGAGATGCTCATCCTCAATGTCTTTTAGAACTGCCTGCTTCGCCCTGGACACTACTCCCACCACGTTGGCTGAATTGGTAACCAAGTTAATTGGCTCCAAGAACTTCTCAAAGGCTCTCACAACTGCAGCCAGTTCAGCAACCTGGGGCGATCCCTCCACAAACTCAACATCAGCTTCCCAATGCTGAGTCTGGGGATTTCTCCAAGTCATCACCGACTTGTGGGATGCCCCAGATGCATCAGTGAACACTGTAAGCGCCTTGAGCGGCCTATGACTCCTTATCTTCAAGAGCAGTGAGGTGTAATTCCTCATTAAACAGTTTGTGTGACGGGACATGGACTGGTACCTGTCCACTGTAGCTGTCCAGACATAGCTGGAGACTGGCATTGCTCTGGAGCAGGTGCTCGAGCATCTCCTTGGTCAACCTCTCGGAAGAGTTCCTTCCCTCCTTAGAGAGTTTAACCAGGAGGTGAATACATGAAAAGTCACATCCAGCCAGCTCATACAGTCTTACCCTGGCCTTCTGGATCAGCTGAGCTATCAGCTCCTGTGGCTGTGTAATGGTTTTGGATCGCTGGTGGAAGAGAAAAACCCATTCTATGATTAAAAGTGAATATTTTTGTTCTTCAGACGACTGGAATATCAACCGTGTATGTATGGTAACTTTCCTAAAACAATGAATTGGAAAGGCAGCTCGGGCTGATAACGATGAGCCTGCCTCTCGGACAAAGCATTCTGCACTTTTTGGATGGTGGTTTTTACCTCTGGAGTCAGTTCTATGGGAGAAGCCAGCTCTCTCTCCCCTTTCACTAAATTGAGGAGGGGAGCTAGGTCCTCGTTGGAGAGGCCCAGCCAAGGCCTGACCCAGTTTAAAGACCCACACAGGGAATGGAGATCTGCTAGGGTTTTGGGATCACTCTTAATTTCCAATTTCTGCAGAACAACAGCCCGCCCAGTGATCTCCAAGCCCAGGTACTTTGAAGGTGGCATCCATTGAACCTTGTCTTCCTGCAGTTGGAATCCAGCAGAGGTTAAAATCTTAACCACTAGGTCAAGTGTGTCTTGGAGTGTTATGTCATTGGGTGTTGTGGTGCATGGTTCATTTGGTTTGTTCAGTTTCCCCCTAAAGTTATAATGGTTCAGTCCTGGGCCCCCCCCCCCTCCCCTGGCAACCCCTCCTTTTGAGAGTGTCAATCTGTTGTCTCCTCCCCTGTTCCCCTGGTTACCCTCTGTCTATCCCTCCCCGAGTTCCTGTCCATTACCCACATGGCAATCGGGGGCACACACAAGCACATCATCCATATAGTGTAGGATGATTGCCTCCCTCTTCTGGGCGTGCACTGGGGACAGCAATGAAGCCACGTACCACTGGCAGATAGATGGAGAGCATTTCATCCCCTGAGGTAATACTCTCCAGTGGTAACGCTTCATTGGGGCTTCTCGATTGATGGTAGGAACCAAGAAGGCAAACTGTGGGGCATCCTCTGGCATCCCCCCTTTCATAGGGGAATATGAAAGAAACAATCCTTGATGTCCAGGACAGCCAATTGCCAATTCTGGGGAAGCATGGTTGGAGAGGGCATCCCTCATTGGAGAGACCCCACATCCTCAATTACCTCATTTATTTCCCTTAAGTCATAGAGGAGCCGCCACTTATCCTTCCCTGGCTTTTTTATCACAAAGACCGGAGAATTCCAAGGGGTAGTTTTCTCTTCAATATGTCCTTTAGCCGATTGTTCTTCAACAAGCTCCTCGAGCGCCTTCTCGTGCCGCATCTCCTTCTCCTTCTGGCCGGCCCTGCTGCCAGCACGATATCACATTCCAAGGCAGCACAGGCACTCTCTATCTTTCTTGTGGGTGGGGGGGGGGGGCAAACCAGGTGCCAGTATTCAAATCAAAGCACTGATTGGTTTGACCACAACCTCCCAAAAAACTCACTTCCTTCTTAACCTACAACAAGATTTTGGGCTGAAGTTAACAGGCAAGAGGCACTGCTTTCTATAGTATCACAGAGCAGCCCAGGTTGGAAGAGACCTTGAAAAATCATCTTGTACAACCTTTCATGGGCAAGGGAACCTGGATGAGATGCTATCTCGATATCATAAATTGAAAACTTCCAGTCATGGGGATTCTACCACATTCCTGGAGGCACTGTTCTGCAAATGGTTGTTCTTGCTGTAAAGAACTTACTTGATACTTCATGTATCAAGATTAAACCTCCCCTTTTGCAACTTGAACCCACTGCCTCTTTCCTTCTCCATGTGGTGTCTGGTGAATAGAGAATCTTTATCCTCTTTGTAGCTGCCCTTTAAGTTCTGGAAACTGTGCTGAGGTTGTCCCTGAGCCTTCTCAGCTTTGTGGTCCTCCCTTGGAACCCCTCTGCTTTGTTTGTATCTTTCTTGAAAACTCCTTTATTGAGATAGTGGGGTTGTGATGATGTGAGACATTGCTCTACCCAGCTCTCTTGTACTGCCATTGGCATTTGCCTCTTTAGACATAGTATTTCACATTTATTCAGGGATCTGTTCTGGAAAAAAAGGCAAAATAAGGTTCTGTAAGTCTAGTTTAATTAAAACCAGGAAAAGCCCCACCCAATTTATAGATCTGTCACCTGAGCAAATAAGATGCAAAATAAAAGATAGAATTGAAAAGTGAGAGGGGGTTGGAAATTTAACTTGGGGTAGAAACCAATTTTGGTTTTAGCTGAAATCTGCTTGTTTAGTCTGTTAAAGCCTGTGCTTGCAAAAAGGCCGGTAGAGAGTAGGAAGGAGATTCAAGGCTACTTAGAAAGGAATGCAAGCATTCAAGCTGAAGAGAGATAAGAAGAGGCCCCACAGACCAAAACCTGAATCTGGGTTACTTGACTGAATAACTGCGCAGGCTCGTAAAAAATGATAAGACAGTTTAATACATATACATATGCCTAAAATATATAGGTATTTTAGGCATATGCAACAGGTTAAGGGATTGTGGAAACCCAGGGCACTGGGAATATTTCTCTGTCTGCTCTGGGGTGTCTTGACCCCCAGGGGAGCTCTGACTTTGACCCTCATTCATGGAGAAAGTTTCCTACACTTCATGGTAGACTATAATCCACAAAAGTGTGAAATAGATTATAGAGTGTAGTATAAGTGCATCTCTTGGTAAGAAATTTAGGTTTTGGTTTTTTAGTATGGATGGGAGCAAGATGGAGGGCACAGGGTGTTGTCCTGGGTTTCTTCATTCTTCTTCATTCTTCTTTCTTCTTCTTCATGGGTTGGGGTGGCATTTTGCAATTTGGCAGAAAAATCTTGAGCATTGCAGGCTCTTTGGGATCAGTTATTGGGTTATAAGGGAAAATAATCTAGGTATCAGTTGTTAATTGGATAGTTTAGTCTTAAAAGACCTTGTAACAAGAGATTGTTAGCCATTTTGTGCCTTCTAATGAAAAGCTGCTGAACTCACAGTTGTGAGACTGTTTTACTGAGAAATAATAAACACCTGAGTCTGAACATGAACTACCATCTCAAGTGCCTTCAATCCAGACCCAGAGAAACCGATAGGGGATAAAGTAGACTCAGGAATTTTCAGGGGTGCACATGTCCTTGGGGAGCATATGTCCAGGGCTGAAATAAATCATACAGGTTTTACAACATCTACAAGTTCTGGAGTTTTATTCTGCAAATGAAAAGAATGAAATATTCAAAGATTTTTTTGTTTCACTCTTCTAAAACTGGTTGGTTCTGCTTGGACATAAGTGGATATGCAGAGTGTTGTAAAGAAATAGGAATGCTAGAAGTAATACTTAGAATATTTAGAAAATAAATGAATGAATTCAAAAGCAGAGCAGCAGAAAGTCCTGTGACAAGGCATCTTTGAACAACTATAAGTTATCTATAAGCAACCAGAAAGGTTCCAGTTTCCTGGAGGAGAACATACATAATAGCAGTGTTTAAAAACTTGTGAAGGATGAATCAAAATAGAATAGTCATCTTAACTTGATACATAGAAATGTAGTAGAAAAAATGACAAAGCAACTGACCATGGAACGTTTTGAAGAAAATGAAATAGTAAATATAAATATTTTTAAATAAGTTGGTGATCCTCTTTAATGTTACTTAACCCTTAAATGAGCCACTGACAGAAAATACAAGAGGTGAGGATTGGGGAGGGCCTGTGACTAAAGAGACAGACATTTATGAGGAGATAGCAATATATAAACATTGGTTATAGAAATGAAAGTACTGAAAGTAGACTTAGAAATTCATACAATAGCAATAAAAGGCATTTAGAAGCACTGTCAGCAGCAGCAATAGTTTCATGAATATCCACTTGTTTCCATGGATATGATGAACTTGTGTTGTGGTGCACTAGTTTATTTAGCTGTTCTTTTGCACTGGGTGATTAGGAATTTGCACAGAATAGTTTTATATTGGAATGTATAGCTTATGTTATATCACATGGTTTGTTATCCCTTTTTGCTCAGCACATGATCTTTCCCTCACACACCCCAGTGGCCCCTGGTGGTCTCTTCCTGAGTGAAGAAGGTCCTCCCCTCGCCACTCCTCACTGGTATCCCATTGGCTGTAGACCTCTTCCTCTGTCCACATTCCCTGGGGTATAAAATTTCCCTGCCACCAGGGAACTCTTTCTCCCATGGGTTTGTCCACCTGGTGTGTCTCTTGGAATAAAGGAGAATGTTTCACATGTGGAGAAGAGCGCTTCTCAGTCTTTTGCCTTCATCTATGAAATATTATGTGGGTAAGGGTCTACAGCTAGCTGGAGTGGACCCCAACAGCCCAGCAGAAAACACGGTATTTCAAACTTGGTTGCAATAGTATGCTTATGGTCACACTGCATATACTGGTTGACAGCAAAATTGGGAGGGCAATTAAAGCAATCTCTTTTAGTGGTGAATCCTGATCATATTCAGTTTTGTTTTAACACTGGTGGGCAGACTAATATCATGCATTATAAATTACTGGCTTTTAAGCCTGGGGATCAGAAGAAAGGGCTGAAAGTAACAAGAAAAATTGCAAAACAATTTGAAACATAACATATTGAGAAGATTAGGGAACACAAAGTTTAGTAAAGGTAAGTGTAGAACTCTGTATTTAGAAAAGGGAAACCAAGGGAACAGGTACTTGACGGCAGTAAATCTGTCAGGCATAAAAACAGCTGCCATAAGAACACCTGAGGAATCACACTTGGCAAGGATTAACACGATGACAGTGCAAGAAAAAAAGGTTCAGATCTTATTCTGGTCTTGCTAATCTGATTGAGAATCAGAGCATGACCTGATTCTGCAGTTTTATCCTCTCCTATGTCATCCCAAAGTCCCTTTGTGCCCTTAACAATCTCACTCTGAAGGACAGAGCTGTTCAGAGCAGTAACACCTCATGTGCTTTTGCTCCATTTGAGATACCCTGTGGGCCCTTGCATTCAGTGGGGTAAGGAGGTGGAAGAAGGGAGGATGGAAAAGGCAAGCTGCTATGTCAAAAATGAATGTAGGCAAGGAAACTTGATGGACGAGTGACCTTTTGAGGGAGTAAAAAGTAAGCAGAGATGCAGGTAGTGAGTGTGAGAATCAATTCAGAAAAATTTGGGAATCTGTTTTGAAGGTAACACGTAATTGACACAATAGCAGTTGCTCTCAAAATTTATTACTTCTAGGTTCTTACCAATTGTCAAAAAAAAAAAATAGAAAAAGTATCTTTCTTTTTGGTCTTGTCCCTTTTGTTTCCTATGATGCCTAAAAAGAGAAATTTCCACTGAAAATTATGTTTATATTGCATTTTTTGTCTGTTTCTTCTAAAGAGAATGAACAAACGAGAAAAATTATATTAACCCATCTTCCATCCCATGTGCTTTCCTCAGTTCATTTCCAAATCAATAATTATTTCAGGAAATACCCTTTACAGGTGTTTCTTTGGTTTAACTCAACATTTTTATTCCTATTAGTTGTTGCCCCAATAGTTCCTGTTCCTAGTATTAGTTGTAGCAAAGGCCATAGGTCACTCTTGTCAGTCTTCATGGAGTTCTGTAATGTCAAAAGGTTTTAACAGAGTACAGAGTTAATCAATGACTTGCACCTTCACCCTGGGGTGAACGCCCTGTCCTATTTACTCATATGTTGCATAAAGTTTTTCTGCATTGTGGGAAGACAGCCTGTATCTCTTTGGGTAGATTTACACAGGGATACAGACATGACTAGAAACAGTGAAAGAATCATTGAAATGGTGGACAAATGTTTTTCAGAGGGTGACAGGATGGCCCCAGAAGACATGCTGTTTTCCTACAGAGGTATTTTATACCCAGTTACAATTAGCAGCCTGCAGACTTTGGAAGCTCTGAAATCATTTGAAGCCAGGAGCGATGATGTGATTCTGGTAGGTTATCCTAAATCAGGTGTTTTCTTGATCAGTAGTCAAGTACACAGTGCTACAGTCCTGAAGTTGATTATTTAATGCCATCTTGCTTCTTAACAGCAAAAATTCCTGAGAAAAGCTTATGATGGCATCAGACTTCAAAGAATCATGAATTTAAGTTGTAAGGCATATCTGGAGCTCAAATAATGCAACCCCCTGCTCAAAGCAGGGGAAAGACCTAACATCCCAAGTTAGGTTTGGTTGCTCAAGGCCTTGTCCACAAGGGTTTTGAAACTTTTGAGTATGGAGGTTCAGCACCCATTGAAATATTTTGCAGTGTTTTCCCACAATAGTGTTTTTTTGGGGGGTTGGGTTTTTATTGGTTGGTTTTTACATCAATGCTGTCGGACATACTCTTGCTGTGAGAGTCTCCATCTTCATTAATACCTGCAGTAGTGGAGACTGCAGTGAGAGTGTCCCATACCTTTTTTCTTCTGTCTCCAGCCTGAGCAAACCAAGCCTTTCTATGCAGTTCATTTGCTCCAGCTCCCAGCAGTTTAATAGAAATTCAACAAGACTTTCCCCACATTCTCAAAATAATTTGTGCTTCAGTCTAGGAACTGCACACAGTATTCAAATGGTGAACACACCAGTGCCAGCTAAAGCAGGATAATCACATCCTTTCCTTTGTATCTAAATGGAAAGACATGGGAAAGACATGAATGCCACGAGGAGTTTTACATATTTTCTCTTTCTTTTACTCTGAACCTTTCAGAATCCTTAATTTTTTTTTTCCTATTGGCTTTACAGAAATATCTTAATATGTAATTTGCAGAAAAAGAGGAGGTTGATCCTTATCACATTTCCTTTGTGTGTAGCCTCTAGAGCTGTACAGAAGCAGAACTGGTTTATATGTATGAGGATCCACCTAAACCCTGCAGGAGGTGTTAGTTGAAAACTGAGATTTTGCTCTCTGAGCCCAGATCCTCACGCACGATTTCTCCCAGGCTGCAGAAGCCAAGACAACCAAGTCTGGTGCAAAGATGGTGTCAGGAGCGTGATGGTCTGGTGGCTTGGCTGATGACCTTTGTGCTGCCAGTTACAGAAGCCTAGCTGGGAATTGTGAATGGGACCAAACAGTGTCAATAATGAGGAAACCATAAATTGAAGCTGGTTGGGAAGAGGGAACAGAGTGTTCCCAAAGACAGCACTGTGGAAGGAAAGCAGTAACAGAAAAGATATGACTCAGTGCTGGCCCAGTGCTGGGAGCCATACAGCTCTTGAGTAATTTCCACAGGCAGTAGTGCGAGGTAACCAAAAAATAGAGAAGTTGAAAAGAGTTGAAAGAGCAATAGAGGTCTGCTTCTGCTTCTACCAAGGGATGTGATGTGACCCTGAAGCAAGCAGCGTAGCACTCCACAGTATCTGCTTAACAGCTCTGCCCCTGTTGACCGTAGGCACACCCTTGCTGATTATTAACCAGGGCCATGATTTACCCTCAGCTGGCAACTCACAGCTCAACTCAGTGGCCCCACAGGGCCACTCACTCTTTCACCTGCAAGGGGATGAGGGAGAGAAACCGAGTGAGAGGAGTCATGGGTTGAAATAAAGACAGTTAAATATGTCAAACAAGAGCTATGTGTACAAGCAAAGCAAAGTAAGGAATTCATTCTACCCTTCCAGGAAATGTTCAGCTGTCTCAGGGCTCCATCACCCATGATGGAGACATGGTAGGACAAGTGTCTTAGCTGTCAGCATCTCTCTTTCCTCCTTCTTCCCTCAAATTTTATTGGTGAGCATGACTCCATATGGAATAGAATACTCCTTGGGTCAGTTGGGATCAGCTGTCCCATCTGTGTCCCCTTTTAATTTCTTGTGCACCTGCAGCCTACTCTCTGGCAGCTCAGTGTGAGAGTCAGAGGAGGCCCTGCCATTGTGTAATTACTGCCTAGCAATAACTAAAACATCTCTGTGTTACCAACATTGTTGTCAGCACAAATTCAACACAGAGCTCCATACCAGCTACTATGGGGAAAATTTGTTGCAGAGAATACATGCACACACTTGTTGAAAGGTTAAAGTACAACACTGAACCAAACTGGTTCACTTGAAACCAATTTGACAGGATACCATCGGCCAGGTTTACATGAAAAAGTGAAGTGGAATGCATATCCTGCTGGTGTCTTTATCCTTTCAGGAACCAATTGGCTTGAACAAATGGTGAAGGAGTTGGCAGATGCCAAATATACAGAAGAGGAAAGGAAAGAGAGAATAAATGCTGAAAAGAAACTAGAGACATTTTCTGCATCTAGAATTTGGGGATCCCGGGATAAATGAGATAAGCAGGAAAATACTGTCCCTACTCTTCCTACAGGTAGTAATAGCTGAAAGACAATGGCTGATCTCAGAGGTAATGGAGAACCTAGAGCCTTAACAACAGCCATGGTCTGCAGAAGTAACGTGCTAGTGCCTCTGGTGTCCCAACACAAGGGCCTTAGCTGGGAGACAGGGCTGAGAAGGCACAGGGTCCTCCTGCCATTGACCTAAAAAGTTTGATTAGTAAGACCTGTTTTGAAGGTGTCCTGATTTTAGGCCTGTGTCATGTGAAACAGTGCTTGGTGGGAGAGGTTGGCAGAAGCCTACACCACCAGTGCATCCCTGTGGGTTTCCAAAGGGATAAGATACATCTCTGGTCTCACCTTTTCTTATAGCCTGCAATAACTGCACAGGCACAACTCACTGAATAAGCTACATCTGTCTTGTCACATTTTTTTCTCACTTTTTTTAAAGAGGATGAAGCAGCTTCCTTCCAGAAGAATTATAGTAACCCATCTGAGACCTGATGTCCTGCCTTCATCCATTCTCCAAAGCAAGGCTAAGGTGAGTCTTCTCTTTGCATCACGCTTCAAAGTCTTTCTATCCTAAATTAGCTTTCCTCTGTATGAGATGTCTTTTCTGCATTTTCACTTGAGCTGGTCAATACACAGCCACATTTACAAGGTTGAAGAGACAGCTCTGTGTGCCAAGACTGTGAACAAAGGTCCTATTCCAGCTGCAGCTGTCACTCTTGTGCCAAGAATGACACAGGAACAGGCGACAGGCAGTACTGTAGAAAGAGGAAAGAAGGCTTTATTGAAGAGAACCGCACGGTTTATCTGGAGTGATATGGTACATTCTATTTGGCTAATTAACAAAAACACTTTCCTCATACACCATCCTTGAAAAAAACAGACGAAGTAGAAAAACACCACCTGCAGATTGTTTATACTAACAAGTTATCACATCCTTACGACTCCCTGAAAGTTCTCACAAGCTGCTGTGAGAAATGCTTGCTGTTTCTCTCTGTCTGTCCCATGACACCCACATGCAGCTTTGCTGGCTATTGGTGGGCTTGTTGCTGAATGTCCTTTCAAATCTCCTTCAGAAAGATGCTTCCAGGTTGGTGGTAGAAACCTAAGCAAGGCAAGGAGTAATTCTGTCTGTTTTAACTTGCCTTCAAAACCAGGGTACCTGTGGAAAGCCCACCACAGGCTGTGTGGCTAAGATAATCTTAGATGGGAATTACTGCAGAGAGAAACTAGGGTACATCTAGAGACTGTTTGTGGCTCTTTTGTTCAGTACATAATGAACTCATTTGTCTGGATTGGAACTAGGTCAGAACTGTCTTGAGGGAATCACTGAAAAGCTTCTTGTTTTCAGCCCGAAGCTTAGATTAGCAACAAGTGATCTTCCAAAGCTCTGATTTCTTACTCAAGAAAAGGAATTAGACCAGAATTGGATGGTCTGGTGCATTTTAGTGGACAAGTAAGCTTGCAGACAACACCAAGTTGGGCGGGAGTGTTGATTTGCTGGAGGATAGGAGGCTCTGCAGAGGGATTTGAACAGATAATGGGCTGAGGCCAATTGTATGAAGTTAAATAAGATATGTATTGGGTCCTACAAAATGGGGGTCACAACAACTCTATGCAACACTAAAGACTCGGGACAGAGTGGCTAGAAAGCTGCCCAGTGGAAAAGAACCTGGGGGCACTGGTTGACAGTGGCTGAACATGAGCCAGAACTGTGCCTGAGTGGACAAGAAAGCCAGTGGCATCCTGGGCGTGAATCAATAACAGTGTGGTCAGCAGTACCAGGGTAGTGATTGTCCCCATGTACCTGGCATTGGTAAGTGACACACTGAGCACTGTGTCTCATTTTAGGCCTCTCACTACAAGGAGGACACTGAGGTCCTGGAGTGTGTCCAGAGAAAGACACTGAAGCTGATGAAGGGTTTGGAGCATAAGTCTTAGGAGAAGCAGCTGAGGGAGCTGGGGTTGTTTAGCCTGGAGAAAAGGAGGGTCAGGGAGGACCTTGCCATCTGAAGGGAGGTTGTACCTAGGTGGGGCTTGGTCTCTTCTCTAAGTAATGAGTGACAGGCCAAAAGGAAATGGCCTCAAGTTGCACTGAGGGAGGTTTAGCTCTGGATATGAGAAAAAAATTTCTTCATAGAAAGGGTTGCCAAGCATTACTGGCTGCCAGAGAAGTGTTTGAGTCACTGTTCCTGAAGGTATTTTAAAAAAATGTAGATCTGGTATTTCCAGACATGGTTTAGCAATGGACTTGGTAGTGCTTGGTTAATGGTTAGACTTGATGACCTAAATGATTCTGTGATTCAATGACTCTGTCATATGTCGAGAAGATGGCATTTTGATCAGTCAAAAGATGTATTTTCTTCCTCTAGATCCTTGTGCTAGTTCAGAACCCCAAGGACACGGTTGTCTCCTATTACCACTTCTGCAACAACCTACCAGTGATGCCGTCCTTCACCTCCTGGGATGAGTACTTTGCAGACTTAATGAATGGAAAATGTACTTTGCCCTACAAACTCTGGCATTTCTCCTAACATGAGTGGCATACACAGGGCCTTGTGCATGGGAATCCTTCTGTGACATACCTTACCAAGGCACTCCCAGAACAGGCAGACAGGCCCTTGTTACGGCAGAAACAGAGTACCAGAGAATCAGAGTTTTGTCTCGCACTTAAAATAGATCATGAGAAAGCTTTAGCCTAACTTTTCCATTCCCACAACAGAGCTTGTGGTTTACCGTATCAAGTGGACAGGCCTTGGCCATGCTGCACTGACCTCAGGAGAAAGAACAGATATGTTGAGGTGGTCACCCCTTCACCATTCGAAAGCCACACTTAGAAAGCTGTCTGGGCTGATTCCTCTGATTTGGTTAAGGGTTTGTATTGGGGAGTATTCTGGACAGTTGTGCCTCTTCTTTGTTTGCAGTGGCCTGGGGATCCTACTTTGACCACCTAGTGGAATGGAACAAATACATTGACAACGAGAGGATCATGACAATAAGCTACGAGGAAGTCAAAGAGGTGTGGCATTTCACCCAGCTTTTCCTTGATGAGTGTGCTGTGCATCCCTCCTGATATGTATGGGTGTGGGAAAGTAGAAACTCTTGGGCCAAGTCTGTCTGCCCCTTTTAGAAGGATGTGCCTTCTAGTCATTAATGTTTGGGACAAGCCCATGGATGTCAGGAGGAGGATAGCCTTGCCTATTTGTGAAAGAAGTTTTATCTGTCAGAGGCACAGATTTTGGGAAAGAAGCAAAGGCCTTTAAACTGGGGCCAGAATGTGTAGGTTTCCTGGCCTGGAGGGTTTTCTGTTAGAGCTCTTGGAATTCCTTGGTGACATCGTGAGACAGCTTCCCCTGTTGGGCTTCCCACAGGGTGCTGGCTCCAGTCCACAGCCACAGTGTCAAATCTCTTGGTCCCACCTCTGTGCTACGTTCCTTTGGACAGGGCCCAGTACTGGGGATGAAAAAGATTGCTTCCTTATTTGGATTTTCCCTGTGTGAGGAAGATTTTTCCAGAATTGCCAAGACCAGTTTCAAATCTATGAAAGAGAAATCCAGTGAAATCCATGGAAAGTTTGGGGACATCCTCTTCCAGAAAGGTAAGTCTCTGCAAATGGAGACCTGCCTTCAGAAGGAGAACTCCAGAAGGGGTTTCAAGCATGTCACTTTACTTCGACATGAACTCATTGGATGGTGTGGGTGAGTTCTCTACTGTGGTGCCACCTGTACAGAAATCTTCTGCTGTGCACAGGATTTGAGGATTGTTTGTGAAAAGCTTTATCAGAGTGCCAGTCTTAATGTCCTCAGTCATTGCTTTTGTGTTGTTGTCTTCTTCTGTAGTGGTCCTGGTTAGTTAGGTAAGTGAGGTGCCAAGGTGAGGACCGGCACTGGCATCTTCCTGTTACACACTCAGCAAGAGCTTTATATGTCTCCTCTCAATGGACATGTCAGTGGAGCTCCCCACAACCTCAAGAGTCTTTGGTTTCTTTGTATTGCAACATGGGCTTTTTAAAATCCATTTCTTTCACCACTCCCTGGAGGAAGAGGGATTTAGCCAATCTCCTCTATACCACTTCCTTCAGAGGAAGTAATTCACGAATGAGCTTTCCCTTGTGACAAAACCAGATTCCCCTTTTTCTATGTAAAAGCTTCATGAAGTCACCTTCTGGGGAGGGAGCACTTGCAGGCAGCTAACCAGCAATGCTCCCTGTTGTCTGGCTAGTGCCTTTGCTTCTGATCCTTTCCTCTCCCAGGCAATCAGACCTCTCAGGGCAATTAATGTGATCCTTCCTGCCTTGTGTAGTCAATCACTCTGCCCCACTGCTGCCTAGATATTATTTTCTCTCTAGAGCATCTCCCTTCAGGTTTTGGTACTCATACACAGGGGTTATTGGAAACTGAAGAGACATCTTCTCTAAAGCTCAGAATGAAGAAATGGACCGGAAATTTCAAAATTCCTTAGGAGGAACAAAGATGGCAGCAAAGATAAAATATGATGTGTACTGCAAGGCCTGAAAATAAGCAGATGAATAGCATAACAGTAAGTCATGTTCCAAAGGTGATTCTCCAAAGGCGGATAGTCACCATTTTTCCTTCCTATGAGAGAAGAGAGAAACCCCTCAGAGAACTACCTGGTACCTCCAAGAATTTGGTAGGTAATTCTTAGATGTGTCTGGGGTCTAGACCTTGTGCTTTGATTGATGTAACCAAATAAAATGTGTGTACACCTCAAGTGAATGCCTGGCATCCTTTCAGAACGGAGATGGTGAACAGACGTCATGACACCAGTCTGGTGGCATCCCTGTCCCTGCTTCTTGGCCTGAAATGATGAATGAGGCCCCTGCAGGTCTTGTTGGTGAGAGAGAGGGATCAACACAGAGCCTCTCCTCTGGCACAGAGTGGACTTGACATGGATATATGGTGTGGGTCTGAACTACCAAATGTCTGTAGAATAGGTAGAATGTGTTAGTCTAGGTTTAGATCCATCATAGCTGCCACGGTGTTGGCAGGTCAGAGAGGCCTTTAACACTTTGGCAAACTTCACACATTGGTATGGCAAAGGGTGGAACTTCTCAAGCTCAAAGAGCCATGAACTCTTAAGTGACAAACAGCTATGTGCTTTTTGGAGGGTTTTGCTCCTGTTGGACCCTCTGGGAAATGGCAAGTAGGAAGAACCACAACATTCAACTGGGAGGACTGAAGGAAAGAAGGCCCTTGATGACCCTAAGCTAAACTAGCTAAACTAGAGAATGGCATTTATTTGACAATAGATACACTTATGCTACATAGGTATGTTTTCCACACCCTCCTTGCTGATGTCGATGTCCTTGCTACATCGTTGCAGAATGTCACAACCTTGTCTCATCACCCTTATCACAACCAGTCTTGTAGGATGCCACACAAGCCAAGAAGGTGTCTGTCTGGCAAATGGAATTTGGTTCCTTGGAAGAGGGATTCCTCTGCCATATTCCTAGGTAGATGTATCAGCAGGACTCTTACACTGAACTAAGATTAAATACTGATCAAACAGAAACCACAAATGTAATTAACAAAACTGGGAAATTCTTAAGTCACTGTCAAAGTGCTGACTGTCCCTGAACAGCTCCTTGGGAATACCTCTACCCTGCCCATGGCCCAGGCCTCCATGCCAACCCCTGCTCCAGACTGTCAGCCCCTTTTCCAGCGATGGTGCAGCAGGGTCAGGCTTCAGCTCCTCCGAGTCTGCCCTGCCTGGCCACTGGCCGAGCTGGACCTATCCACAGACTCACATGCTGACCACCTCAGCCCATCACCTCCCCCAGGAGAGTGTCCGATGCCTGGGCTGGGGCTGCCCCTGGCTGCTGTGCACCTGGCTGGACAGTGGGATGTGCTCTGGCTGCCATACGCTGTGCCCCATCTGTGTGACAGGGATAATGGGAAGTGATGCAGATTCAGCTCTGAAAGGCCACTCACAGCCTGCTTCCGAGGCAGATTTTCTAAATGTGTGTGCAAGAGCTGCACATGCAAAAAAAGTTCTGTGTGGAGAGGCATGTTTGTTTGAACCTGATGATTCTGGATTTGTAGGTTTCCATTTCCAGAAGAGTATAACTTTTTCTTATTCTGGGCTTCCATGGATGAAAATTGGCAAGCAACCATGACCCGTAATTTTGGAACTATTAACATTTTTACCTGTTACTTAGTACAGACCCTATAAAATTTACTATATGGTGACATAAAAAGCTATCGAGACAACAGAAAACATGGTGTAATCTCAATGTCTACAAGGAGTTGAACAAGGAGTTAAAGAAGGGAACAAGCCTGATCAGAAATGGAAAAAAAGTCACTGAAATATTCAAAAGGCATTTATTAAGATAAAGAGGTGACATCTTCAGGTCTGTTGGTTTGTTTTTTTCTTCTGCAAAGATTTTTTTGCAGCTGAAGGGCCCTTAGCAGTCCAGAAACTTTGGAAACTCTGAAGTTCTTGTAAACCAGAAGTGATGATTTTAGCTTTCCTAAAATGGGTGAGTCTTTCTTGCTTGATGAAGTGTCTATTGCTGCAGTACAGAATTGTATGGCTGTACATAACACAGCAACAATGCCCATGATGAATTCAGATTTCTGTGGAGGAGCAGGAGTGGGGGTTGTTCCCTGGAGGAAGACAGAGGGTGCTTCCATAGGTTTTCTTCATTGCAGGATGTAGGTAATTTCTTGGTGCTGAGTGGAGCTACAGGCTCACCTGCCACCCAAACTCTTGGACCCTTTTCCTCTCCCTTCCCATGCCTTTCAGTCCCAGCATTTGGGTTTAGTGGTTACCTCCACATGTTCTCCAAATCACTTAGAAAAACAGCAGGCCATTTGAGGCGGGGCGGGGGGGGAGAAGTTCATATTTGATCTGCATTACATCTCCTTAAATGCTCCACCTGAATTCTTTTATTTTTTCTCATACAGAAAAGGTATAAAATTGTCTTATGTAAATATCGTAGGTAATGTAGTGATAATTTGATGTCTGAGTTGTAGCATCTCAAATTTCCAACCAATCTTAAAAAAACTAAGTTAGAAAATGCTTTATGTGATTTATTATAAATATAATATGCTCTAGATTCAACTCACTTAATTCGATGATGTGGTGGTGAATTATGGGTAAGCTGGGAGGGGTACAGCCAAACTTTCAGGTCTACAGAGGGAAAGGACTTTTGGCTTGTAAACAACATTTTTCACAGAAATTTTGCAATATGACTTGAGGAGATGATCTTAGACTCTCTTGATGATTAAAAGCCTGAAACTGGATTTGGTTATTAGTAGACAAGGTAATAGTTGCACAGAAACTCTTCTGAGAACTAGTGAAAGCCTTGGATGGAACCCAAATCATTTTAGTCTGTGAAGACTGTTACTTTTAACTGATTCCTCCAATTAAAAAAAAAAAAAATTTCAGAAATTGATCAATTGTATTTCCTTTTCACAAAGTTGTCATCCAGGTTGTTTTGGATTTACTTATAGAAATACAGTCATCAGTCTTTTCTGATTTGTGAAATCTTATAGTTTCTCATCTGATGTTACCCTACTTAAAGGATTTCCTTCTTCTGACCTCTCAGTCTATGTAGTCTTATGAGCGTACAAGCTGGAAACCTTGTCTGTAATGAAAGTCCCTTCCTGAGGCATGCAGTTTTATATATTTTTCCTTTGTTTTATTTAGTTTCATCTATAATTTATTGAACTATGTTTTTCTAGTAAAATGTTTACTTCGTATTTGTTTCCAGTCCTGTTACAGATAATGAAAAACTTGTCATTAAGAAGATAATTCATTCTCATATCTTGCCCTGCTTGTGCCTTTTCAAAGTAAGGCTAAATCTTTTTGATTTGTTCTGAAACTATATAGCATTTTCATACAGATTAGTTTTTAATTTCCTGTGTAAAATGTCTTTTCTGAGGCTGTATGTAGGCTTTAAAGGGGTGATTATACATTTCTGAATGTGAAGTGATAAAGTGCCATTTACAAACACTAAGGATACACATCCTTTTTCAGTCATGGCTCCATAGGCTACTGTTGCCTTCCTTCATCTCTGCCAAAGACAAATGTTCCCTCAAATTTCCTTGCAGAGCTGCTCCGTGTAATCCCAAGTAATCCAGACTAGGGTACCTTTAAATACTGTGAAAGGATCTTCAGTTGTCCAAAGCTTAGAGGTGATCCTAACTAGACCTTTTTTTTTTACAGTGGACAGATCGTAATCACTGAGACGACTGTAAATTTCTAAAGGCTACATTTACATTTAGCTAAACTTGGATAGTCAAATGTTTAAAATACAGAAACTCAGTTTATTCTGAATGAGAACACAAGAATACAACAGACCTTTCTCTTCACATTCTTTGTCTCAGTCCAGCAACATTTTGTGGCATTTTGGGTTGCAGCAGGCCCCACGCAGGCTGAACATTCCTGCGAAATCTGAGCCCATGGCTGCCCCAAAGGCTAGGCTTACTTCCCGCTTCTGACTGCAGTTGTCTGCTCCTTTTTTTTGCATAAGCTCTTCTGTTTGTTAGACACCCCCAGCTTTCTGAAACAGCACAAAACACTCACTTTTGGTGGCAGCAAGCTGTCTGATTTACCCTGCTGTCTTGCACAACCTCACCCTTGGTGTCTCTGGGTCACTAAGAAAGAATTTCTTGCTTCAAAGACTTGGCTCTGTCATTTTCTGCTTCTTTCAGGCATCTGCTAATATCTGCCCTCGCTGCAGGCTCTCTCCCCACTGGATCATGCCCTCATGCTCCAGAAGACTTTCCCCTTCAGCCAAGGCAGGGCAGGTACAGAAAAGCAAAAGGGCAACCCCCTGGCTGGCCACTGAAAGGGAACAAGGGCAGACACAGCACTCTGTGCATGCACTGATATTTAGCATCCCTCTCTCTCATACCCAGACAGGGACAGCAGTGGCTGTAGATATGCTGGAAGTCACAGTCTGTTTGGCTGGTGGGGGCGGGGAACTGGACTTCTTTCTGTGTGGAGAATTTTGGACCTCAATTCAGTGGTGATCATTTCAGGTTTATTGTGTTCCCTCTGATTGTTTTACCAAGAAAGTAATTCCTTATTTGAAAAATACAGAATTTATGTCTTTTCCATCCAGAAAGAGCTTAGTAAGAAAGGTGTGCATTGAAATTTTTTAGAATGTTAAACATATATATTTTCTGTGTATTTAGCATCTTTTTCTTAGCCACTCAATTGCATACTTCTGAGGTTTTTCATATTAGATCCAGAACATCAAAGATAAAGCCATTTACTTCAACTTTTACTTGTCCTCCAGGATAAGCACTTCACATCTTTATGAATGGGAAAGGTACATCCCATTCTCTAGAAAGTTGTTCCGATTATCAGTGTGTACACGTAAAAATAGTTGTAGCCAAAGTGAGTCTAGCTTTTTGGCAAGGAACAGAAAATCAGAATTTGAACTTGTGTTTGGCAGAAACTGCATCTTCTGACACTGTGTTATTTAGGTCTTTCCACCAGAAAAGTGCTCAAAAACCATAGCTCTGAATTCCCCCTTCTTGAA